TGTGTGTGTGTGTGTGTGTGTGTGTGTGTGTGTGTGTGTGTGTGTGTGTGTGTGTGTGTGTGTGTGTGTGTGTGTGTGTGTGTGTGTGTGTGTGTGTGTGTGTGTGTGTGTGTGTGTGTGTGTGTGTGTGTGTGTGTGTGTGTGTGTGTGTGTGTGTGTGTGTGTGTGTGTGTGTGTGTGTGTGTGTGTGTGTGTGTGTGTGTGTGTGTGTGTGTGTGTGTGTGTGTGTGTGTGTGTGTGTGTGTGTGTGTGTGTGTGTGTGTGTGTGTGTGTGTGTGTGTGTGTGTGTGTGTGTGTGTGTGTGTGTGTGTGTGTGTGTGTGTGTGTGTGTGTGTGTGTGTGTGTGTGTGTGTGTGTGTGTGTGTGTGTGTGTGTGTGTGTGTGTGTGTGTGTGTGTGTGTGTGTGTGTGTGTGTGTGTGTGTGTGTGTGTGTGTGTGTGTGTGTGTGTGTGTGTGTGTGTGTGTGTGTGTGTGTGTGTGTGTGTGTGTGTGTGTGTGTGTGTGTGTGTGTGTGTGTGTGTGTGTGTGTGTGTGTGTGTGTGTGTGTGTGTGTGTGTGTGTGTGTGTGTGTGTGTGTGTGTGTGTGTGTGTGTGTGTGTGTGTGTGTGTGTGTGTGTGTGTGTGTGTGTGTGTGTGTGTGTGTGTGTGTGTGTGTGTGTGTGTGTGTGTGTGTGTGTGTGTGTGTGTGTGTGTGTGTGTGTGTGTGTGTGTGTGTGTGTGTGTGTGTGTGTGTGTGTGTGTGTGTGTGTGTGTGTGTGTGTGTGTGTGTGTGTGTGTGTGTGTGTGTGTGTGTGTGTGTGTGTGTGTGTGTGTGTGTGTGTGTGTGTGTGTGTGTGTGTGTGTGTGTGTGTGTGTGTGTGTGTGTGTGTGTGTGTGTGTGTGTGTGTGTGTGTGTGTGTGTGTGTGTGTGTGTGTGTGTGTGTGTGTGTGTGTGTGTGTGTGTGTGTGTGTGTGTGTGTGTGTGTGTGTGTGTGTGTGTGTGTGTGTGTGTGTGTGTGTGTGTGTGTGTGTGTGTGTGTGTGTGTGTGTGTGTGTGTGTGTGTGTGTGTGTGTGTGTGTGTGTGTGTGTGTGTGTGTGTGTGTGTGTGTGTGTGTGTGTGTGTGTGTGTGTGTGTGTGTGTGTGTGTGTGTGTGTGTGTGTGTGTGTGTGTGTGTGTGTGTGTGTGTGTGTGTGTGTGTGTGTGTGTGTGTGTGTGTGTGTGTGTGTGTGTGTGTGTGTGTGTGTGTGTGTGTGTGTGTGTGTGTGTGTGTGTGTGTGTGTGTGTGTGTGTGTGTGTGTGTGTGTGTGTGTGTGTGTGTGTGTGTGTGTGTGTGTGTGTGTGTGTGTGTGTGTGTGTGTGTGTGTGTGTGTGTGTGTGTGTGTGTGTGTGTGTGTGTGTGTGTGTGTGTGTGTGTGTGTGTGTGTGTGTGTGTGTGTGTGTGTGTGTGTGTGTGTGTGTGTGTGTGTGTGTGTGTGTGTGTGTGTGTGTGTGTGTGTGTGTGTGTGTGTGTGTGTGTGTGTGTGTGTGTGTGTGTGTGTGTGTGTGTGTGTGTGTGTGTGTGTGTGTGTGTGTGTGTGTGTGTGTGTGTGTGTGTGTGTGTGTGTGTGTGTGTGTGTGTGTGTGTGTGTGTGTGTGTGTGTGTGTGTGTGTGTGTGTGTGTGTGTGTGTGTGTGTGTGTGTGTGTGTGTGTGTGTGTGTGTGTGTGCGCGTGTGTGTGTGTGTGTATGTATGTACGCGATATTTTGTACAACCTTTTTTTTTACATGGATAGAGTATTATTAAAGGATGGTTGGTATTGAATTTGGTGAGTATCGGTGAAAGGGTTCATTTTTTACAAAATTTTGAATTTTTTGAGAAATGTCTGTACACGCTGTAACTTTCAGAAAATTTGAGATATCGGATTAAATTTTTTTACATGAATAGAGAATTATTAAAGGATGGTTGGTATTGAATTTGGTGAGTATCGGTGAAAGGGTTCATTTTTTACAAAATTTTGAATTTTTTGAGAAATGTCTGTACACGCTGTAACTTTCAGAAAATTTGAGATATCGGATTAAATTTTTTTACATGAATAGAGTATTATTAAAGGATGGTTGGTACTGAATTTGGTGAGTATCGGTGAAAGGGTTCATTTTTTACAAAATTTTGAATTTTTTGAGAAATGTCTGTACACGCTGTAACTTTCAGAAGATTTGAGATATCGGATTAAATTTTTTTACATGAATAGAGTATTATTAAAGGATGGTTGATACTGAATTTGGTGAATATCGGTGAAAGGGTTCATTTTTTACAAAATTTTGAATTTTTTGAGAAATGTCTGTACACGCTGTAACTTTCAGAAGATTTGAGATATCGGATTAAATTTTTTTACATGAATAGAATATTATTAAAGGATGATTGGTACTGAATTTGGTGAGTACCGGTGAAAGGGTTCATTTTTTATAAAATTTTGAATTTTTTGAAAAATGTCTTTACACGCTGTAACTTTCAGAAAATTTGAGATATCGGATTAAATTTTTTTACATGAATAGAGTATTATTAAAGGATGTTTGATATTGAATTTAGTGAGGATCGGTGAAAGAAATCATTTTAATTTTTATTTCGCTCACAAAGTTTCTTCTATGAGAAAGCAAAAATTGAAAAATCCGCATGCTTAAAGCAGTATAAGCATTGTAAGATAAAATGATGAGGAAGCAATGTGCAAGTTTCTAATATTTTTTAATATCGTTACACATTAGTCTCGCAATATTTTCCATGATATTATGACATATATTTGTATTCTTGCACATCGAACAACCGTAAAGCGAAGGCGTTGTCGTGTAGATAGTTGTCGTATAAAGTCCACACACAAACTAAGTCTCGTTGGGAATTCTCGTTCCGACGACGACGAAGAGGAGGCTTAGGGGGAAAAGGAAGACGGGATATAAAGGGTAGGGAGGAAGAAGAGGTCGACGATGTTACAAGGAGGCACTTTTGATCGAGTATCCCCTCGAAAGCTCTCCGTAGAGTCGTTGAAAGCCTCCGTGTCGACGACCGGCTCGTGCTGCAAATGTTACAGATACACCCGGTACATGTATGTATACACGCATACGTATTCCGTGCAACACACATACATACACATAGGGGGATCGTACATATACTATTTCACAACGCGTTGAATGCAACAGGATCCACTTCAGAGATCATACGCTCGGAGGAGTGCATCCGACTCTCTGTGTTAGAACTCGAGAAAGAATGGGAACGGCGGACAGAAATACGGCCACGCTACTCTTGGATACGGATTCATATTACCGAGCTATTTCGCCCAGACTCGGTATGCGATGTTCGTTAAAAATCAACGAGAGACATCTCTTTTTTTCTTCTTTGTTTAATCGCTTATGTTAAAGTCCCGACGATATTTTCTTATTGTTAGTAGTAAGTTTGAATCGTCTTTAATTTAAGATATAACGTTAATTAAATTAATTATTTATTCCATTTTTATAAAAGTTGTTTAATTAACTTTATAATAATTATTGTCCAATTTTTTTATATATAATTAATTTTATATATAATTAAACTATAAAAAATTTACAATCGCGACAAACGATTGTAAATTTTTATATCGGTGCTATAACTCGATGGTATGCAATTAATAGTTTGTCAGAAAATGAAAAAAAAAAGTACATTTTCGTCTCGCGAGCGTGATTTTATTTCAATGTTTGCTGTCGTATAAAAATGAAGCTTTCGCTTCTATCCGACTGTCATTGTTTGTCGTGGAATCGCGACGACGTCGGTGGTTGTTAGCGAACAAGCGAGAATTGTGCTTCGCAACGAGAACCCTCTTAGACGTCTTCGTTTACGATTTAAAAGACGCCTGGTAAACGAAGTCGACGGAATAACGCGCATCCTTCCCGCATCTCGGGATCCTTGCGAATTCTTCTCGATATTATGACGGAGACATGCGGTGATTTAAAATTTTATGAATCAACTTTGTGTGTCAAATCGGTGTTTGCGAGAGAGAAACCGAGATATCCGATTATCACCCACGAATTTTGCGTGCCGATCGCTTCGTGTCAATCGCGATAACATTTATCGCGCATAATAATAATAATAATTGTGATTGTTATATGATAATGTGGGGGATTGTTACGTGTCGAGCTACTTTAACGAGCTGTTATAATTTGTATCCGGCCGGCAATAATTGCGTCATTAATTTTATACATGTGTCTTTCGCGCAGGATAAAATGAGAGATTTCCTCTCGATGGCAAATTCGTTTTAAGATGATAGAAGTTGATCGAGGCTCTTATTTCGACATCATCAAGCAGATCGCCTCTCGTTGAACGCTAATTAAATTCGGCGACTAATTGGATAACCACGGTAAGGCGTGGCTCGCCTTACACTCTTTTCGTTCCGCTTTTGCGAAACTACGCATTATAAGCATCCGAGCAAGCAAGCAGGCGCTGTCTCTTGTTTAATTCCCTCGCTCGTAATTTATCGGGAAACTCTAAATGAACTCTAGCGCGCGTTGAAAAACTTCCGGGACACCCATTAGCCGAGTAACATAGATTTATACGAGAGAGACATCGATTATTATTACTCTCGCTGTCGCTATCTCTCTCGTCGTTATGTAATATGTAGCTTTTACATTTATTTTATTTATTATACGCAATATCAATATATATATTCATTTTATTTATTATACATTGTAATTTTTCTTGATTACATCGCGCATCGGACAATGATTTATATGCGTAATATTAAATAAAGCATCGTGTCAAGAAACATGCATGCAATTATATTTATAACAATTGATAGAGATAAATGTGCATCGATATATAAAGTTACAGTTTAGAAGATTAGAAAATAAAAAAGACTCTCTCTCTCTCTCTCTCTTGAAAAATTGTAGAATACGAACGAAATCGTGAACAAACGGTGTTGACGATGCGAGGGAGAGAGAGAAAGAGAGAGAAATGAAGAGAAATGCATATTTTTGCTACTGTGTCACGTTTCATTATGCAAGAGAGAATAATGCCTCACAGCCGACAGCAGTTTCCTACTGGCAAACGCCCAGATCGTCGACTTCCCGATCGTCTATTGCAACGAGAGCTTCGTCAAGATCTCCGGCTACAACCGCGCCGAGGTATGAGTACTTTATTTAATACAACATATACTCGATTTCTCTCAAATTCTTGTTCAAAAACTTCGCGCCGATATTATCGCGAAGACGTATTCGTAGAGCTATATTTAGACGATACACACACATAATGCGTGAACTATATGTGTGTATATCTTTCTCTTATATCATATATTAATTAATTAATTAATGGATATCAAGCGTCACAAATGTATTTAATCTATCAGTTACAAGACTGCCAATTACCCGGACGTGGATTATTCAAATATTGATTTCCCTCGACAAATTGAACACATAAAGAGATATTATATCTAACAATTCACATGATATTAATTATATTATTATTATATTTATATTTTTTTGTTCATCATTGCATACAAACTTTTTTTATTTGAAAATTTTATACTTATAACATCGAGAGTAAACGTATAAAAATATTTTATCGTCCTTCCACCTCTGGTTTGGATAATCTCGAACTATATAAAATTGACTATAAATAAAATTTCATGCTTCGCTACATATTTTATTCTTAAGACACACGTTGCATATTTTTCTAAAATCCTCCGATTAAAGAACCGATCCATGTTTGTAACATTCTATGCTGTCGTATATTACAAAATTTATTCGATACTCATCTGATGGTGAGTAATGGCTCGTTTATTCGTTGCCACTCTCCTTGGTTCAAAAGAGTGGCGTGGATGGCGAGTGGATAACGGGATTTAACGACTAGCGAGGGTTGATTCATCGACATCGATTTATAGCTATAGATAAGAGTTTTAGCTAGTAAGGTGCGAAAGCCAGAAATATCGAGAGATAGTATCGCGTATCGGGCAAACCCGATATCGAGTTTAAAGGCGAATTAGCCGATGTGGCTGATCGCTCATACACTCGATGAATTTGATAATTTAACTCTATCGACCTTTTATTATTGCCAATATTTATTATTTTTGAAAGTTGCACGATTTTTTTACACGAGATAAAACACACACAGTGGCTGACAAGTACACAAATATAAATAGAATCGCTCTTCAAGTAGAATCTTTTTATTATTCGCGATCTTAAACCTTCTTGCTCGGTTACTATTCGCTTCTTTATGTAAGACATCTACGTTTAATTGTGCACGACCATCGTATTTGCCATTTGAATATATTCATACCGATGTATTTATATATACGTAATGAAAGCTCGAAATGAAAGAAATTTCCTTGGAAGAACGGTTATAAATCATCCGGGTAAACAGGAAATCTCAAAGTAACGCTTAAAGTACCTCGTAAAGTAATGACAAACAATGCAAGAAACACAGGTAAAAAATTACCCCTTGCACTTAGATCAAAAATACTTTGGATTATTCGACTCGGACGCGACTTGTCTCTAGCGTCTCTATTCGACTAAGCGACGAAGCAGTAACTATCCCCTTTCTGTAAGACACCCACAATGTTCCAAATCCTATTGTTCGGAAAGACACATGGATTCAAGATTTACGAACTCCATTACTGGAAGCCGGATTGAGGATGCTTTCGTGGAAGGTTTGCGTGGTAAGGAACAAAAGTGATAGCGATGACACAAGGATATAAATGTGCATTTTCACTCTCGTTAGTTTTTTTTTTACGACAAATATATATTTATTTTTTAATGGAAGATTGAGATATAAAATATAAAAAATATAAATATATTTGAATGTAAAAATAATAAATAGAAACTGAAATAGAAACCTGCTGCATACTTGTGACCTTTCGCTTGTTTAGTTTGTCTGAATTGTTCCTATCATAACGGCAGCATTATTAAGAAAAATAACGTCGTTAATCCTATTGCTTTCAACAGCCTCAAAGACGTAATCGGCTTAATTTAATCATACAGTCGCGGAATTTTTTCGCGCATGAAATTCTCAAGTTTTCTTTGGGAGTCTCTCGCCTGTTTTTACATCGGTCAGCGAGATTGCGCTTACGCTTTTCTACGTTTCTTTTTCAAAGTGGCGTATATTTTTTTTTTCACTTTTATACACGCGAGAAAGTGCAGCTAACATTTTAACACACGGGTAATACGGCTATTACGTGCTCTTTCATACGCAGATGCTGAAGCGCGAGAGATGCGAGCAACGTGTGTATTTCAACGCCACCGGGTATTTGAAATAAATCTCTTTAGTGTCACAGCTTGGCGAGATTAACGGCGCGAGGATAAAACGCAGAAGTTTTTTTTTAATTTTTATATATTTAGCAGATGTGTTACCTCTGTACACTGTTATCCTTGCAAATTTCCAATTAAAAAAAAAAAAATCACGCGGCGCGATTTTAATTCGACTAGGATCAAAGTTATGCCATCGGGTATTTGAAATAAATCTCTTTAGTATCATAGCTTGGCGAGATTAACGGCGTGAGAATAAAACGCAGAAGTTTGACACCGTTTTTTTTTTTTAATTTTTATATATTTAACAGATGTGTTACTTCTGTACATTGTTATTTTTGCCAATTTCCAATTAAACAAAAAAAATCACGCGGCGCGATTTTAATTCAACTGGGATCGAAGTTATTTCGTTCCTGTTGCGCTTGCGAGCCGCGGGATTTAAAGGTCAGAGCTACGGGATTAATAAATCTGTTTCGAGGTCAAAAAACACACGGTATCACCTATACCCGATATCCCGCACGAACGACCGTTTCTCGCTTTCGTCGGCATTTGATAACGCAAATCGGGTCAACCTTTATCGACTTTATCGATCCGCAAGATCGCTATTTTAAGGAAGCACTTTATTCACAATGGCTTCTGTTTACGTCATTTAGTCCCGTAAGGATTATTTTAACGTTATAATTTTCGCACGCGCGTATATAAATTTTTATATTATCGCGATGATTCAGAAAAACTATAGTTTTTACAAGTATAATTTATTCGCGAAAATTCTGATGATAATTACGCTCTTGATTTACTACAACCACGTGAGAGCTTTTGAGTCGATTATTGTAATGTGGACGAGATCCAAATATAGTAGACCGTTTCTGCGATTAACGCTTACAGTTGGAAATTTCGCACTGTCCAATCGTAACTTACGATACGCTCTTTATTAATACGTAACGAGCGCAAAGTGCATATTAATAATAGGCAGATTGTTCTAATTATGAAGCGGATTAATCGATCTTCCACCATCCGTGTGGTCGTCGCGCACATTTATCATCTGCTTCCCCCCTTTTCTTCCCGAGGATATATATCTCACTTATTCTATGTAATAGCAACGTGTATATTATACGTCTCTATCTACACACACATGACGTTCTGTGAGTGAATAAATTGTAATGGATATTCTCTCTCTCTTTATGTGTCACCAGGTTATGCAAAAGTCATGCCGCTGTGGATTCATGTACGGGGAGCTGACGGACAAAGAAACGATCGCCAGGATCGAGGAGTGCCTCGAGGGCCAGATTCACGATCAATTCGAGATTCTACTGTACAAGAAGACCAGTAAGTCGTCGTGATTATAAATATCTGCATGTAGAGGCTTAAATGTGAGGTTCGTGGGGTTTTTTCGCGAGAATCGACGGTTTCGCGACGTGTAATTTACAGAAAACGGATCGGAACACGAATACGTCCGGGGAAAAAAAAATATTACAAGGTCTAAAGGCATTGGAAAATTCTAATCGTGTCTACTTTGTATGTGTGATAAACGGTACGAATAATTAAAAAATTAAATAATTCGTTCCAAGCCATTCGTGATTATGTCACGGCGTTAATTTTCGATTTGAACGAAATTCGCGCGGCGAGATCTCGCACGGCGGTGACAGGTCCGTTTTTCTTCGCGCGTTTATCACGCGCGGTAATTGGATGGCCGTGCAAAGGGCGGTTGTCGGAAAAGGGAAGAGAAAAACTTCGCACGGAATCGCGATTGGGGGGAGGTAGCGGAGGAGTTATTGCGCGGAATTTGCATGCGCGTGTTTATCGGACCGGGGCATCTAGTTTCCTATTGCGTTGCCGTGCACTTTATACACCGCGCGGATACGTTGGAAGTACAGCAATCAGCTCGGCTTGTGTATGTATTTAATGGAGAACAAAACGCGACCGCTTTTGACCGTGAGGAAACCGATACTTTGCCAATGAAACGTTCCGATGTTTTAATTAGGATATATAATCATCGTCGACGCCGTGCAATTTTTGTGAATTTTTCTTACAGCGATAAACGCATGGGGGAAAAAACTGCGTTATTTTTATTCGTCTTTGAATATAAGAAAATCAAATCTTTTTTTCTTTTATATGTCGATTTTTTATAATCAGATTAAGAGGGCATACCCGTTTTAAACTCTCGAAAAATGAGTACATTTTCTAAATTTTTTTACAGCGCGACGTCTTGATAAAAACTTTTTACTTTTTTACAATATTAATATAAAGTTAAATAATTTAAATAAAAATTTCCAGCTTAAAGAAAATTTTTCTTTCAAAATTATGCGAATATTTGCAGATTTATATTTTCATGCACGGTGTACATGAAAACTCGGGTTACGTTCAACGGATTGACTTCAAATTTTGCATGCGAGTTCCTAATAAGATTCCACATCTGCTAACGAAGCCTTTTTTTAATTCGATTCCCCATTTTTTTGTTATAAATAAAAAAAGTTGGATTTAAAAAAAAACGAAACTTTTTTCAACCTGCTGCCATTTTCTTATTTTTTTAAATTTTGAAAGCACTTGGATAGCAGATAGCTATTAACATGTTTAATAAAAAAAAAAAAAACTTGTATTTTTGACTTCAAATATGATAAACGAACATTTTCATGCACACCGTGCATGAAAATATAAATCTGCAAATATTTGCATAACTTTAAAAAAAAATTTTTTTTTTTTTTAAAGCTGAGAATTTTTATTTAAGTACTTAATAATATTGTATTAATATCGTAAAAAAAAACTTTTTATCAAATCGTTGCGCTGCAAAAAAAAAAATCTAGAAAATGTACGAAGGTGCAAATGGGTATGCCTCCTTAATATGAAAATCGATTTAATAAATATTTGCGATGTATAGAAAGATGCGCTTCTTTGGATGTTCCATAAATATTTTATATTTAATTTCTCGTTGCAATGTTCTGTTAAAAATTTTATGCGCGTAGCATAGATAGTGAATAATGCAATGGATATAATGTGTGTCGTGTAAATTTATATGATATTATTCACGAGATGCTTTCTTCATACACATTGTTTTCCAAGAATCGCGAATGCAGCGAGGGTAAACAAAAGTTTTGATTATATATATATATTGTTTTATTTGTTTAAATAATTAATCCTAATTTGTAAAGAGCATGTTGGACAGCCACACGCAATGTGCTAGTTGCAATGTTCGTAAACTGCGATCGTTATAATGAAACCGTCGTTTCGGGAAAACACCTCGGGGCACGAGATGTATCATTGTGCATGCGCAATATTTGATGGAAATATATATCGAAACGTAACTGTGTCTGCATACGTGTATATCACACCGGTAAGTTTCGTGTTTCGTGTTGATCGTTTCACCATCATGTCGTATCACCCGATTTTCTGATATTCGCGTGATGTCTCGGCACGAAGATCCTCGAAGAAAATTTGATTATTTCCGATTGCTTTTTAGAGAAGAAAAAAAAACACCCTCCCCTCTCGATACGTGACGTGTTAAGCGTAATAATGAAAGAGATCCTTCTGTTTAAAGGTAGCCCACGAGGTATGTCTAGCACAAGTTCGCAAAAGCGTGCTCACAAATGCCACCAGTAAGTCACCCACGAATCTAAGATCTATGCAAAAGACACCGTATACATGGCAGATATACATATACTTACTGATATAATACGCTTAAACTAATCTTTAAGATAAGAATTTGAAAGCTTTATAAAAGCCTTTTTCAATTAATTACTCTTGATTAATCCTAGAGATGAATTTGGACTATTTCTCTAAAAAAAAAAAAAAAAAAAAAAAAAAAAAAAAAAAAAAAAATGAATATCAATAGTTTTTACAAATTGATTACATCATCTGCTTTTGTAGCGTTTGACCCTCTTTGCAGTCTCCTTTTAATCTTTCCTTTTTCATAAAAATTCTATTCATATAATACTCACACTTACTTTAGAGGATAATCGCCGCATTTGTTCCTGTAATTGAAGAATTCTCTGCCAACCAGGAGCCAGAACGGAAAGATTATGGCTCCGCAATAGCATCGCGTTCGGCGACGATCGTAAAAATAGATCACGGACGTTATTTTTTGCGACGCGTTACTCGCCCCAAAAGGGGGCGAGAGTCTAAGTACCGTTTTTTGTCCGACAAAATCCCCGGCCAACGGCCCTTATCGTCGAATGAGACGCAAGAGAGATGGATGCAACGGCGCTCCGTTTCTCTCTCCGGTGAGAAAAGGAGGGTTGCACCTCTTGAGGGAGGATCATCAACCCACAAGGTTGATTAACTCATGAGGAGACGCAGACGGAGCTTTGTAAAGGGCGACTTAATTACGCGCTATATTACGAGAGAAACCGAGGTTTTTTATTTTCGACAAATTTTATTTTTATCCTCGCGTTTTATCCTAGTAGCCAATACATAGCAATGTATATATATATATATATATATATATATATATATATATATATATATGTGTGTGTACATAACATGTACAGGTAACACGTACAATGGTATACTGCCGGAGCAATTTTCGTTCTCATTTGCCTCGTTTCGTCCTATTAAAATGAGAATTCGTCGCATAAAGCGTCTAGCGCGCACGATGTAAATTAACTTACATATTTTTTTGTCCTTTAATATCACTATTATACAGTGTGTCGCACAAACTTTATACAATATTTTAATAACGTATTCTAGAGGCAAAATGAAGTAAAAAATCTTAATACAAAAATATCGAGGCTACAATAGTTTTTGAGTTATAAGTGATCAAAGTTTGCTAATAACATTGCGTAGAATTTGCGTCCTCAAGCTCGTAATTACATTTACACACGTACTGATCTGTCATCTGTTATTGTGTGTGTTGCTGATAGATAAAATAAATAAATTCATTTCCACCAAAATTTCTCCGCGCGATCAGAACAAAAATAAACTTCGTTTCTTAAATGTGTGAAAATATTAAGTTTATATTTCTATTTAAATATAATAATTAATCAACCATTTAAATTATTATCTAAGAAAAAATTAAATTTTTTACGTACAACATTTATTCATTCGTTAATATCAGCTGAGAGAAACATAATATTTATAAACATAAGAAACAATAAAATCAGCTGTGCAGTAAAAATCAATATTACCTGATTTGTAAAATCAATAACAGATGACAGATCGGCACGCGTGTATCTGTAAATTTTGATCGCTTATAACTCAAAAACTATTGCAGCCTCAAAATTTTTGTATTAAAATTTTTGACTCTATTTTATCTCTAGAGTACACTATTAAAGTATTGTACGGAGATTGTGAGACACCCTGTATATATTTATGTATGCATTAAAAACTGCAAATTTAGAAGCCAAGTTTGATTTATTATTTTACTGACGCAACACCCGAACAATAAAATCTTTCATTATGCTTTTTCCCCTAAATCATAAACTCAGATTATACGAATTCAAGTTGACATATTAGCATTTAGTATTAGCGCTCATTAGTCAAAAACATTTCAGTCGAACGAACCGATTATTATTAGCGAATTTCATTTCTTGTATATCCTGCTATTTTTCTCCTGATATTCATCTATCTACATTATATACTCTGCTTTCATTTATAACTCTGTTACCAGTAATTTGTATAATACTTTCCGCGTAATAGCACAACGCACGCTGCGTCATATAATTACGCTATTTACATTCAAGCGTATGAATTGAAATATTCCGCGTAAAGTTTAATATGGCGGCAATTGAGATAATTTTGATATCCTGCGGTATAAACGGTGATACTGTAATAATTTTCAACGATATAACGTAATGATAAAGCCAGCTTTTAATGAAACATTATAGAAATAAATATATTAAGCACGCGTAGTCTCTTTAATAAATATTTATCTTAAATTTTTTTAACTATTATATACTTTATGCATTTGAAGAATATTTCAGTGTCAAGTTTATTCCTTCTCTCTTCCTCTTTCTAGTGTCACAATTATTCCAAGAGATTAATACTAATAAGCCTCTTCCGCTTCGCTTTGAAATTCACACTGGTTTGAAGCCATAGCCACGCTTTCATAGCGATGACCCACACTTTTTCCTACCCCTTGAGAATAGGGTATTTTCGTCCGTATTTCCTGTCGGCGAATGTATGTACATTGTTGATGCTTCTCATACGTAGCTCGTCGTTTGACGGGCTTACAAGGTTCCTTAATTAAGCCAGTTGTCGGGGCACGAATGTACATATAATGCCAAAATTATTATCAAGCATTTATATGTACGTTCGTCCCTCAGGTCCAAAATTTCACGTGTACTCGCGAATTTCGTATTCTCTCTCTCTCTCATTAATTCACGATAAAGGACGATCGCTTAAAGTATCCTTGGACGAAATACTCTCTCGAGAGAGGCGTAAGGATGCGCTCCGTTAAGAGGACGAGATGCAAAGATATCGCGCGTCCCATTCAGGAAATTTACTTTTCCATCTACTCCGGCGCGCGAAGTCTCTCGATTTTCTGACGTCGCGAAAGTGTGTATCTCTCTTTGAATCTTTTGTAGCATCTTCCGCGATATATCTCTTTATCAATATATTTTCTATTGTATTATCTGTACTCTCATCGTATTAAATACTCTCTCTCTATTTTCTTCTCGTACTTCAAATTTTCCTCATTATCGCTAGCATTAATTCGCACGCTCGCATGCTTTACGCCGCGAAGCATTGTAGGCGAATTACTAATTGGATTCCATCGTTCTGAACTCGCATATAGCTTCGATCTTGCATCCCCGACATTGTGGACAAGTGCGATAATAATCTAGCGCGCGGTGCAACTTGTCGCTCATGGTTGAAACATTATGTGACTCAAGTGACAACTTAGAAATTGAATGCTGCAGAACTAACTACGTCTGATTGGCTTTTGACTTTTGCTCGAAGTAACACACAATAATGCATGATTGGATATAATTTAACGTTGTTACGAAAGGAAACTTTCTATCGAACTTCTATCGTTTATTCGCGATATTGCAGGAAGAATCGCATAAACGTTTCGAGGAAATATTTTTTTTTTACTTTCTTACGACAAAAAATATCTCATATTTATATATTTTTCTTTTTACATTATTATTTTATTATTATCCTGCGTTTTATCAGCGATTCTTATCTTCAGAAATTTTCCTGATACATGAAATAGTGCTGAGATTAGTTTTTATATATTAGTGTTCCTTTTTTTCTTGTTTGAAACGCTTTTATTGTATTATATATACTAGCGCAGTATTTTATAATCTAGCTTTCAGTGCACGTAGCATGACAAATCTATCTAGACTACGACAGCAGAAAGATTTTCAGTCGAATTGACGATCAGCTGACTCGCAGATTTTCTCGCAACTTCTGCAAAAAGAACTGAAATTCGTGATAATCTTCCTGCGATCGATCGTGCTTGAAAGCATATACGACTTAAAAAGTAGATTTTACTATCTCTACCATCTTTGTACGAGCAGACGATACCGGTGTCGTTCTCTTTTTACGTTCTACAGAGACACCATTATGGCTGCTGCTGCAAATAGCGCCCATAAAAAACGAACGAGACCTCGTGGTCTTGTTCCTG